AAATGAAAAAAAAACAATGAATGGGAGAAAATATTTGAAAATCATATATCTGATAAGTGTTTAATATAAAAAATATAGAAGGAACTCATACAACTCAAAAGGAAATAAAAACAATTTTACTTAAGAATGCCAGAGGGACTGAGTAGTCTTTCCTCCAAAGTCCCTATATAAATTTCCCACAGATTTGAAAAGATTCTCAACATCATTGATCAGTAGAGAAATGCAACTCAAAACTGCAGTATCACCCACACCTGTTAGAATGGCTAGTATCAAAAAGGCAAGAGATAAGTTTTGGCAAGGAGGTGGTGAAAAGGGAACCCTTATGCAGCATTGGTAGGAATGTAAATGTTTACAACCATGATAGAGTATGATGATTACTCAAAAAATTAAAAATAGAAGTATCTCATGATGGAGCTAAGAGTTCTATACCCTAGTTCTGAAATTTGTGTGTGGTGGGGGATAGTTTGCAACATCCAGGTCTTCCTTACCAGGTGGCTGTCCTATAATTCAGTTCAATTCTGACACTACCAGGAATTAGCATCAGATTCCACTGGTTAAGTGCTCAGTCCTATAAGACTGCCCTCTACTTCACATACCAGTTGCAAGCCCAGGTTTCACCTGTGTTTCAAACAAATGGGCTACAGATTGGAGGTTCCCACACCCCCCCACCCCGGGTTCAATTAATTTGCTAAAACAGCCCACGGAACTCAGGAAATCCACTAGATGACTAGCTTATTACAAAGGATATTAAAGGATACAAATCAATAGCCAGATGAAGAAATACATAGGGCAAAGTCCTGAACAAAGGAGTTTCTGCCTTTCAGAGTTTGGGGCCTGGCATGTCGGCATGTGTAATCTTATGGTAATCCTGAAGCTCTCTGAACACCCTCCTTTGGAGTTTTTATGGAGGCTTCATTACATAGGCACGATTGATTAAATCACTGGCCATTGGTGATTGATTTAACCTCCAGCCATTCTCCCCTCTCAGAAATCAGGGTGTAGGACTCAAAGTTCTAATCCTCTCTTCATGACTGATCCGCTGGCAACAAGCCTCATATTTAAGGCATTTCCAAAAGTCGTCTCATTAGCATAAGCTCATTTGTGGTTGAAAGGTGCTTGTTACAGATAATAAGATACCCATTTCACTTTTATAGCTTTGAAGCATTTTCAGGGACTGATGACAAGAGACTAAATATTACAGCAAAAGATGCTCCCATTTGCTCATATAGGCTCAGGATATTTCAAGGGTCTGGGGAGATGTGAGCTGGGAATGGTGGATGAAGACCACATATATATCTGAGACCTATATTATGCACATCTGAATGGTCTGTACATAGATGTTTATAGCAGCATATAATCGCCAAACAACCAAGATGTTCTTCACTAGGTGAATGAATAAAAAAACATGGTAAATCCAGACAATGGGATATGATTCAGCACTAAAACAACTAACAAAACAAAAACAAAAAAAACTATCAAGACATTTATTTAATGTTATGGAGGAAACTTCAATGCATACTACTAGGTGAAAGAAGCCAATCTAAAAAGGCTACAGACCATATGATTCCAACTATATGATATTCTGGAAAAGGCAAAAGTATGGAGACAGTAAAAAAGATAACTAGTTGCCAGGAATTATAGGAGAGAAAAGAACGAATAGGTAAGCCATAGGATCTTAAGGATCATGAAACTACTCTGTATGATGCTATAATGGTGGATGCATATCATTATACATTTGTCCAAATCCATAGAATGTACAACACCAAGTGAACTCTAGTGTAAACTATGGACTTTGAGTGATAGTGATGCCACAATGTAAGTTTGTCAATTGTAATAAATCTACACTCTGGTGGGGGATGTTGATAATGGGGGAGGCTCTGTGTGTGTGTGTGTGTGTGTAGTGGTTATATGGGAGACCTCCATATTTTGTGCTCTATTCACTATAAAACTAAACTCTCTAAAAATTAATCCTATTAATTTTTTAAAAAATTTAAGTAAGGTTAAGAAATCAGGAGAAACATTGTAATATTTGTATTATACTGTACAGGTGGGTGGGAAGTCTCCCTCCACTTGATAGCAAAGTGTTAGAGGCAGAGATTAATGAGTCAAAGCTAATTAAAGAAGTAATTGCTTCTGGGGATATACCCTAGGTAGGGAGGTAACTGTTTTTGAGGCTAAAAATATCATGGCTTAATAAAATAAAATTGCACAACTGAAAGGTAAGTAGAACAATAAAATGCCAAACATATTAAAATGTACTCTGTTTATTAGAAAAATAAATCGTATTCTGGAGTTCAATAAAAACCTAATTAAGGATTTTGGCTGGGCTTCACTGTTGTTGCAACTATTGTTGCTTATTAATTGTTCTCTGGGGTCCAAAGATCTCTTTACAGCTGGGGATATCTGAGACCCTAAATTTCCTAGAGCAAGAGTAATTGGATATAAGGTTTAAAAATTTTTTGAAAATATCCAAAACACTAATGAAAATTGCACCTCTATTCAAGCGCCGGCTGTACAGACTAATTAAAACATTGGATTCCTTTGCTTTAGGGGTAGAATTATACCTATCCACTGTGGGGAAACTGGCTCGCTCAGATATTTGTTATTTGTCTTCTATTAATAAAAAGGGGAAACAAATTAAGTATTCCCTGAACAGTGCAGTTTGGCAGTCAAGATTTTTCTAAACATGGGATTCACTCATGTGTGGGCATAACCAAGGGAGTATTAAATAGTGGGAATATTTCTAAAATTCTCTTAAAACTTCTGGTTCAAATTTTACATCACTCAGATCCTTCCAGCCACTTCTCATCCTGTTGGTTTCCTAGATGCTACAGTCTTGTTCACATGAGTGAAATTTCAGTAAAAGATTATTAAATAGTGAGTAATTTAGATTAAACAAATACTATCAAGATGATTACTCTGTTGTATAGGTGTACTTCTAGTTCTAAATTATTTGGACTGCTTATTCAAGTCATCCAACATCTTACTGTATAAAGGCTGTCCCTTCTGTTTCTGTGAACAGGTTTATGTAAGTTTACCATACACAGTAATATTTGGTCAGAAGTGCTCATTGATTTTATTTAAAAAAAATTTTTTTAACATTTATTTGAGAGAGAGACAGAGTGCAAGCAGGGAAGAGGGATAAAGAGAGAGGGAGACACAGAATCTGAAGCAGACTCCAGGCTCTGAGCTGAACACATAGCCCAACATGGGACCCGAACTCATAAACCATTAGATCATGACGTGAGCCGAAGTCAGACACTTGACCGACTGAGCCACCGAGGTGCCCCCATCTCATTGAATTTGTTTTAGATATAACCTGAGTACTTCAACCAGAGGCCGGGCACACTTACCAAACAACAACAGCACCAAAAACAAACAAACAAAAAACCTTGTCCTTAGCAAAGATCTTAAATTAACACTTTGCACTCTATCAATGTCTTCTGTCTTTACCAGAAGAAGGACTAAAACAAAAGGAAACAAAAGAAAACAGCAGTTACATTATATCATGGTCAACTGATTCTTATAAAAATCATTGTATAGAGTTGTAAGCCTTTTCACAATACTTTACCTCTTTGTTTCTCTATAGGTAGTAGAGATACTTTTATTCTGATCTTGATATTCCCACTGCTCTGAACTTGACATATCTGTCTGCCATTACTTCATCTGGTCTGTGACTCTTAATCAGAAGGTTCATTAACTGATGATTAAGTTGATAAACATTGATTCATCCTCTGTTACTTCATTAAGCTCACACGCCAGTCCACAGAGATTTATTTTCTACCATGTCATTATTCACCTGTAAAATCTCTGGTCTCCAGCTTCAAAAAGTGCTTTGTAATTTACATACATTTCATTGTCCTATTTTTTTTTCACTCATCCAAAACACCTGATAGAGTTTTCTTTTCTTTTCTTTTTTTCTTTTTGCAACAGAACACCAGCAACTTCGCACTGAGATCTTTCTTTTTAATTTGCAGTAGCTCCTTCAAAGAGGAGGTGTTTTCCCCACATCGTTTCTTGTCCAGGGGAGGACAAGGTTCATTTTGTTTAACTGCGATTCTTTGGTGTAAGTTTCCTCAGTGGTTCTGTGTCAGGAAAGAAAAATAATCCAGAGCATGTATCACCTCACAATTTACAGTTCAGTTTGGGGATCAAAATATGATCTTTTACAGTAAATGCTAAGTTGGAAAAAATCAGTTCTCCAATTGACAAACCAAAGAATTCCAGATGTTCCCCAATGAGAAAGAAACTGGGCCATCAAGTATGAAGTGAAAAAGTGCTACCTTTTCCCTCTTTGCAAAACTCTTCGCTGTAGAGCTCTGTTGTTGAAAGGAAGAGCTTATGTAGATTCCTGTGTGATTCAGCTTTCCTACCTCTCTGTTATGAGAATCTTGTTTTTATTTAAGATTTATGAAATATAAATGACATGCTATGATTATCAAAGACAATACATGTAAACAAGATATCCTAATCTTGGTAAGAAGAATCACCAACGAAATGGGAGATTGAAATCCCATAGCTGTTTGTTTGTCTGACTTTTTTTCAGCTTTGAGATATAATTGATGTAAAACATTAGTAAGTTTAAGATGTTGATGTGATGATTTGATATGTATACGTACTGAGAAATGTTTGCCACAATAAGGTTAGTTAACACATTCTTTACCTCACATAATCACCATTTTGTTGTTGTTTTTAAGGGGAGAATATTAAAGCTGCATTCTCATATCCATTTGCCCATAGCTTTTTTAGTATTTTATTTTATTTTTTATTTATATTTTATTTGAGAGAGAGAGAGCACAAGAGTGCAGAAAAGGGATACAGAGAGAGAGCCAGAGAGAGAAAGAGAGAGAGAGAGAATCATAAGCAGGCTCCACGCTCAGTGTGGAACCCAATGCATGACTCCATCCCACCTCCCTGGGATCCTGACCTGAGCCAGAACCAAGAGTCGGTCGCTCAACAGACTGAGCCACCCAGGCATGGCTTTTTAAACAAAAGAGTAAGTGCTCACTTGGGCACCACATATACTAAACTTGGAATGATACAGAGAAGATGAGCAAGGCTGTAGCACAAGGATGACACACAAATTCATGAAATGGTCCATATGTTTAAGCATTGGGTGATGTATGGAAGTGTTGAATCACTATATTATACACCTGAAAGTAATACAGCACCGTATGTTAACCATACTGGAATTTTAAATTAAATTAAAATAAATTTTAGAAAATAAGCAAGAAAGTAAGTCACAAGGGCAAGATCACTTCCAGGATCTATGATAAGATGAAAATCTGTCTGGATTTTCATCCAATGGAACCATGGAGAAGGATATTCAAAGCACCAGAGAGAGATGCATTCTAACAGGTATGCAAGAAAAATGAATAAAAAGGGATGGGGGTGATGCAAAGGACTGAAGACCCAGGAGAAAGAATGAGGAATTAAATTTAATCCAGCCCAGGGGCACCTGGGTGGCTGAGTCAGTTAAATGTTGGACTCTTGATTTCAGCTCAGGTCATGATCTTGAGGTTCATGAGATTGAGCCCTGCATTGAGCTCTGTGAGGGGAGCAGAGCCTGCTCAGGAATCCCTCTCCCTCTCTTTCTCTGCTCCTTTCACAGATTCTCTGTCTCTCTCAAAGTGAATGAATGAATGAATGAATGATCCATCCCAAATAAGGAATCTCACTAGCCTTTTCCTGTTCATTCTCCACAAAACAAGATCAGAGCCTAGGATATTATCTTTGGAATAAATGAGACCTACACTATCCCAAATTTCACTAGAAAGAATTCAGTTTCAGTTGATTTTATATGCTTTAGAAAAAATAGATGTGGTGGAGCTCTGCAACTTTTAGCAATCGCCTAATAAGTTCCCTAGCCTATTTCAAATTCAATATACAGTATTTCTGGAAAGTATTAAGTATGATAATTATACTGCCCATATATTCCCCTTTAATGTTTGCAATAACCAAAAGAAAATTAATGCAAGAGAAGAAATACAGACAATAATACTTTTCATCTTAAGACATATCTCTCTAAGAGAGTTATTCTGGGCACCAGTTATAAATTACTGTACCCATTTAAAGTGTTATAAAAATAAAAACTAGTGGGTAGTGAATGGATATTTGTGCCACACAGACTGTACTGCAGAAGTAACTAGCTTCTTACAATGCGGACATTGCCATTTACACAAAATAATTTCAAGTTTTTTTTTTTTTTCTTTATTTGACACCACAATGTTGTCATGACCTTCATCCACCCTGTGAGTTTTGGTAATATTTTCATTTATATCTTCTCTCCATGGGGATAAATGGTTCTAACCTTGAAATCTCAGTTCCTATGTGAAAAATAACTTTATAAATACTTCAAACACTTACATTTTCAGCAACAAATGAATGAATGTATGAATACAAAACAGCATTTCTGTCAAACACCGCAGTACATAACTTGAACTCAGAAGACAGGAGTCCCTCCACACACACAGTTCACTGTCAATTCTCAGAAATAGTTTACATATTCTTCAGTGATATTATGATCATATATTTCTTCTTAGACTGGACTGATTTGGGATTCCTACAGCCGTCCGCTGGCAGCTGAAAGCATTTGTTGATTCGGCTGTAACCTTTGATATACTTATAATCATCAATATTAATTACACATTTAAAAAACTATCAAATTTATCCATTGACATATTAATTTCACAAACATTCTTTGAACAACTATTATTTTCCAGGCACTTTCCTAGGCCCAGGAGATATAAAAATATATTTTTCCTGATATCCTTTGGCTTTAAAGTACTCACATTCAAGTAAGAAAAACAAACATGTAAAAATATATTTTAATCAGGGGCACCTGGGTGGCTCAGTCGGTTAAGCGTCCAACTTCGACTGCGGTCGTGATCTCATGGTTCATGGGTTCGAGCCCCGCGTCGGGCTCTGTGCTGACTGCCAGCTCAGAGCCTGGAGCCTGTTTCAGTCTGTGACTCCCTCTCTCTCTGACCCTCCCCTGCTCACGCTGTTGCTCGCACGCGCGCTCTCTCTCTCTCTCAGAAATAAACATTTAAAATTTTTTTAAAATATACATTTTAATCAAAACAACAACTCTGCTGTGATAGTCTGTTATTAGGACTATAGTGTGCATGTGTGTGCGTGTGCGTGTGCGTGTGTGTGTGTGCATGTGTTGATGCAACGTTAATGCATTCTCAATTTGGATTACTCCCAAAGCACGGACTAAGCAGGGATCTGAGTTTCAAGTAGTTATTAAGGAGGTAATCACACAAAGTCCTCTGAAGGATTGGCTTATACAAAACTATCTTCAGTGTCCTCTAGGGGAGGACAAAAGCAGTATCTCGAGATTTAGGGTACTCTGCCACTACCTGGAGTGTTTGATATAGCGCTGATATGTCCACACCCAGAGCCTCTCATTCAGTGGATTCACAGTGGAATATAAAGACTCGTATTTTCAAATTCCTACTTGATGCTGAGGGTCTCCAGACTACATTTTTAAGGACCACCGAGGTGGCAGGTATGAACAAGGCATAATAGCATAGGCCACGTGCACGTATATTCAAATATTTTTGATGTGCTTGTTCTTACCCAAACATCACAGTTTCCTCATGCTTTGAGCCATGTATTGAACCAGTAACTGAACTTATATGAGTTTCAGTCATGTATGAGCCTGGAAAGCTTTGCCCCCTCATTAGCTAGTTATTAACCAGGTGACTAAATTCAGTTGGTTAAGTAGAAAATATTTGACAGTCACCCTACACCATTTTACCTTATTTTATATTTTCTGGGATACCTGTAGGTATAAATTTAATGTCCATCGTTGGTTTGAAAGGAGCAGTGTGCCAAGGTTGCATCTATTGTAGGAAAAATGTCTTCTTGGGTAATTCATGTGAAATAGCTTTCGGCTGCTTATTTAGATCAGGACACGTGAGGATTGGAAGTGTGTGTGTGTGTGTGTGTGTGTGTGTGTGTGTGTTACATGTGTATTAATGATATGCGCATGTATAGCAGGAGCAACTATTTTGTGTTCATAAATATTTGATAAAATTCTTCCAAGCATGAAATCGGAATTTTCTCTGTGCCAAGCAATGTATTTCCGTGAGGTTCATGGAGCTGAGATAAAAACAGAAGTCTCATAGGCAAAAATAACTACATATATACCTTCTTGCCTTTGAATAAAGAACATTTTGTGTAGAAAACTTTTCACTCTGGTTCTTGCCTGTGACTACACTACAGGTAAAAAAAAATGCCATTTATGGAGGGACATTTTTAAAACAAAATGAGTTTGTACCTATGTGGGGAGCATAGTAACAAAGAAATGTATTTAACTGCAAAATGTTATTTGTTTCCACAGAATACACATGCAATTTTCTATTCCGAGTGCACATTTAAATCCACATAAAAAGGGCACTTTATTTTCCAAGGACACTGAGTGGGATAATGCAAACTGACTAAAAAGAGATGAACTCTACTTCTGCGTGCACTCTGGGCCTTCAAAGCATCAGAATTAGGAAAGCTAAGTAGATAATATCAGCTGTATAATCATTTCATTCTAATGTATAATTTTAGATGTTAAGGGGTCTGAAATAACTATACTCTATTCTCACTCTTTAATAATCTCAATAAAATACACATGGGAGCAACATATAATAAAACATGTGAACAAGACATTTAGAGTCACTTGACTCGAAGCATCAATGTGCAATATATCTCTTAAAGTCCATAGGCTAAGAAGCTAAAAAATAAAATGAATTTTCTCATATTATTAGCTGCATTTAAATAGTGCAGCTTAAACATCAAGCCAAAAAAAATAATTACATTCTTCCTTGGGTCAACATACACATATTAAATAAAACTTTCCTCTCCAAATCTTATTTTAGAATCTCTTTCTTGCTAATTATGTGGCTGAATCCCTTTCTTTTTTGCAGAAATTCTAGTTATTACCCATGCTCAAGTTTTCAACTATTTGTTATTTTCATATTCAATCACATGCTTCAAAACTGGTGTTATTTAAGAGAAGACTTAGGGCGCGTGGGTGGCTCAGTTAATTGAGTGTCTGACTTCAGCTCAGGTCATGATCTCGTGGTTTGTGAGTTCAAGCCCCACGTCAGACTCTGCACTGACAGCCCAGAGCCTCCTTCGGATGCTGTGTCTCCTTCTCTCTCTCTACCCCTCTCCCACGTGTGCTCTGTCTCTCTCTCTATCTGTCTCTCAAAAATAAATGAATGTAAAGAAAAACTTTTAAAAAAGAGAGAGAAGACTTTGTGATCTGCCATACTTTTGCATGGCTCAAGCCATGTTTTTAAAAGCCAGGTGTATAGAAAACTTCACTGGCCCATTTACTATTGGGTGCTGACAACCAGAAAAGGGGAGGATGTACCAAGGAGGCAAAAATATCATTAAACACAGATTCACTCGACAATTACCATGCTCTATGGGGCACCTGGGTGGCTCAGTCTGTTAACTTGGTTTTGGCTCAGGTCATGATCTCAGTTTTGTGAATTCGATTTCTGCCTCGGGCCCTGTGCTCGCAGTGCAGAGCCTGCTTGGGATTCTCTTTCTCCCTTTCTCTCTGTCCTACCTTCACTTGTGAGGTCTACATTTCACTCAAAATAAATAAATAAAACTTAAAAAAAAATCAATTACCAAGTTCCTGCTCTGATTTACTATTAAGTGCCTTCAGTGTGTGACAGCAGCACTTTGAGTTTGCTATTTCCTGATAGTATCTTCATTAATGTGATCAGGCCTGTTCAGACTCCTGTTCTCCAAACATGCCTTTTCCATGTACCATACATCCACTGCCAGCCCGTTTAATGTAACAAAAGGCAGCTCCAACTTCAAGACCCACTGTCGGGGTCCTTTTCTTTATGAAACCTTCTTGTCTAGTCTACCTCCCAGTATGAGTCATTCCCTACTGTGCTCAGTCAACATTGTTTATAGATTTAAATCTATATTATGGTACTTACCACTTTGATTATAGTTCATAGCATTTGTGCCTACTACTCCACTAAGTCTATAAACTATTGGGGGGAAAATACTAGAAAATGATGTCTCTTTCTCATTAGCTAACAAGTTATGAGGCATTTCCATGGACTGCCATCTTCAGTTCTG